AAAGCTGTTTTTTGAAATGTTTCACTATACAAGCAATACAAAATGAAGCATAGAAATTTTTTTTCTCACATGCACCCGAAATGCACGCATTACCCTTTCCTGGATTTGAAGAACTCACAGAGAGAGAGAGTAGAAAAATGGACAACAGATTTTTATTGGTGTCTGACTAATAGCTTTTGGGGAAAAGTAGTCAATTTTGAAGTAGTCTTTCAGTCACTCAAGCTTCCGACGCATTCAAATGAATCGGAGTCTATATTGAACGGTTCTCAGAAGCTATTTGAACAAACAGGGCCAAACGGGTTTAGTTATACTACATTACAAAGAAGATAAAAGTGGCGTCCACTATGTTAGAGGAAAAGCCTTTTGGTGGTGAAATCTGTCAATGCCTACATCAAAGGGTTGGCCTCTTATCTGTTGATCTACGCCTGTAAAGAAATACTCGCAGAAACGTGTGTTCAAAAAGACCACTCTTATACTTCTAAATACTTTCGGTCTGACGGCAAGATTTTAAAAAAAAATCAACTTGTTTTCAATATAGAAAAAAAAAAAAAAAAAAGTAATAAGCTAATTTAAATTGTTTTTCACAGAATTAAGTAGGAAGATGAAATATTATTATATTTTCTTAGAATTATTTTGCGAGTTGCTTTTTCAAGTTACGAAAATCTCACCTAAGTGCATGTATTTTCAAATCAGATTTATTTAATGCCTAATTTACTAAGTTGTCTTAATTTACTAAACAATCGCACTTTCGAACATATAAATATACTTAATACATACATAAAAATGAAATAAAATTTGAAAATAATGCAATTTAGAATTATGTATTAAAATAATTTAAAAATTTGTTGTGATCTCCACGTTTACCTTATATGCATTTTTTTATTTTTGTAATATGCGTTTAAATTTATTTTATTTCGGTATATGCATTTATTAGCCTTTGTTCTCAAATTTTGTCCAATTATTGAATATTGAAAGCAATGGGATCTGTCTGTCTAAGGATAGACAGTCGCCGTAGTAGGCTTTCTAAGTAAACTCACTCATATCCATGGGAAAAACTATGAACCTAACCATGCAGCCAATTTTTCGTTTGGTTTTCAGTGCGAGTGGAATTAGTAGTAATCAGCGGTCTTAGCTAGTGGGCCATTGGTGGGCTCGATAGAATTTAAAACCTGATAAATCGTATTTAATAAACATAATATCAGCAAACAACCAGATTCATAAAAAAATAAAATGCTTGTATCGACATAACAAATCTTGATATACACATAATTACACGATAAAGTGAGGTATTATATCACTGAATTCAAATACTAACGGAATATACATTAATTCTGCATATAGAAAAATTTTAGCAAATTTCGCTGGAAATGTCTGTCGCCAAAATCTTATTATATACATCTTATTTTAAATTCATCGCATATCGTATTTTTATTCTTACCTCAAAACACATTTAATTTTACAAATAACTTTATTTTTTATTTCAAATTAATAATTTTATTTCCCTATAAAAATTTTTCTTGATCTTTTCAGTTATAGGATAACACGCACGAAACAATTTTCTCTTTACAAATAATGCGCTAGAAAATGCACTTCGCATTTTGATGACATTTCGACTCATTTTGATGATGGTAAAATTTTCTAAACATAAGAAATTTGTTCTTAAATTATTTTTTTTAATAAACAAAAAAAGAATGAGACATTATTAAAATGCTTCATTGACATTTCATATTCTGAAAACAGAACATTGTAAAAAGCAAAGAAAAAAAAAAGGAACAGCACATTTCATTTAATGGTATTAGCTTTGATTAGTATTATTTAATTACGGCAAAGCCTCGGGCTATCTGCCTAAGGAAGGAATGCCTTCGTGAGGCTTTCTAAGGGAAACAGCTCGTATACACGTTACACAAGGGAAACCATGGAAACAACCCATGCAGCAGCCCGTTCGCGGGATTCGAACCTTGGACCAAACTACCAGTGTTCAGCGTCTTCACGCTCGGCGCTGGTGGGCTTCATTTAACGGACGCATAACTTTAAGACAAATATTTAAGCTGTTATGCTGTAATCGTTTTGTTTATTTGATTATGGCAAATCACTCGAGGATTATTTACATAAGGGGAAGGATGTTTTCGTGGAGGACTTTCTAAGGGGAACCGTCTTGTGTACACGTTACACATGAGAAAGACACGAAAGCATCCATGTAGCTCAGCCCTTTCGCCGGGATTCGAACCACCGGATAAAACTACCAACTATTCCATTGTGGGCTAGCTTGGGTAACGGAAAAGATCAAAATCTCATAACAAACGCAAAATGATAGCCTGTATAATACGAAAGTTATTGCCATTTCAATAGCATAAAAGTGACTTCGCGATATTGTATTTTATTTAGCTCATGACAAAATACACGAGGACTGTTTGGTAGTTTGACCTCGATTCAGACCCCTGTGAACTGGCTCACCACATCTGCATTTTCTTGAATTTACCTATATGTAACACCGGAACGAGATAGTTTCCCTTAGAAAGTCTTTCACGAAAGCATACCCTCTTTAGACAGATCGCCCTTCGCGAGCTTAATATAACAATCCGAATGTATTCCCAAGCGAGGACTCGTATTCAGAGCACGTCTTTGTGAAGGACTTTTTAAATGAGATTGGCTTATGTTCACATTAAATATAGGCAGCAAAAATCCACGAAAACTGCCATGTAGCTAGCCCATTTGCCGGGATTTAAACTCGATTCAAACTGCCAGTTTCTACTAGGTCACTGCGGGCTTTTGTTGCATCTTTATAAAAAATCTTTTCAAAGTAATCGCGGACGCATAGTTATTGGTTTTTAATTTGGTTTGGTTTTATGTGATTACAGCAAAGCCTCGAGGGCTATCTGCCTAAGAGGAAGGATGCCTTCGTGGAGGACTTTCTAAGGGATACTGGCTTGGCTACACGTTACACGTGGGGAAAATCACGAAAACGCCCTTGCAGCCAGCCCGTTCGCGGATTCGAACCTCACACCGAATTACCAGTGTTCAGCGACGTCTACTGATCGGCCGCTAGTAGGCCACAATTATTGAGTACCAACAGATTAATTAAGTTAGAAATTTGATAACTTTCATTCATAGTGCTGCTATCAGCACTGACATTTGGAGAGGTTATTTTTTAACGAAATTCTTTTAATGTAATTAATTTAATTCGTTAGCTAATTGTTCTTCTGACTAATTTTTGTGTGTGGTATATGTAACCCTTTAATACATTAATTGTTTTACTTAACTTATACTCCTTTAATTTTAAGCGATTTTATACCGGTAGATTTCTTTCCAAAAACGTTCCAAGAAATGCATATTTTTTCCCTAGATTTTAAGACTATTTGTATTTCAAATCTTAATAATAAAATTTTTAAAAAAACATATTTCTAAAAATTCCTGCGGCATATGATTTATTCGATTTAATTGAAGTTTTCGAGTAGAATATCTTCCTTTTAACATTCATAAAATTTTTATATGTCAGTTCGTCATTTCTACGGAACACAGAGCCACACATACGAGTACAAATCTCAGCATGCTGAAAGCACAGTTTTACCATTTCAGAATGTAAAAAGAAGAATGTACCATTATAATAATGCGCATTTGAAATACGAGTGCAAACAAAAAAGTTGGTTGCTAAATTTTATATTTTTTCCTGATGAATCAGAAATTGTAATCAATTTTAATACAAAAATAAAATATTTGATTGTATAACATATGATTTATTAAAAAGGGCGTCTTCCGTTACAATTTTTATTTTTTCCTGTTTCTACTAAAATTCGGCAATGTACTATAACAACGTCTGATCCTGTTTGACTTTCATTTGTATAAAGTACCAAAGGGGCAAACAGTTGTAAAACGATTTATCTTCATTCGCAAACTTTTAGTCGCCACACAGATAATACATACCTGCTGTCTGACAATGATACTTCACTCTCAGGACTCTTTCGTAAAGTGCTCTTTTCAAAGAGACTTCACACCCCATTAAGCTCTTTGTGTCAACTGACAACCGCCTGCAGAAAGGTAGGGGAAAGAATACCAGAGCGCATTGTCTAAACACGTCTTAAGCAATTTTGGCAAAATTTGGGTATACACTCTTCATTTTTCGTGTATACGTTAAACATCTTAAGCATTTTTAGAGGAAACTCCAAAAACGTTTAAACACGTCTAACAGTTTAAGGTTAAGGCCTATGCCACCCACATTTATCGGAATCCCCCATAAATACTCCTAACTTCTGCCAGCCAATTTTTTTGAAGTTCAAAGTATGACTTCTCATTTACACTGCCGGGTCACATCTCACAAATCTTCCTGCAGTCCCTTATCAAGGTATTCCTGCAAAGCACTGTATGTTATGTCTCCCCTAACCGGGGTTATTTGAGGTGCCTGTAATAGCGGGATATAATTCCTGCTGAAACAGGCATATCAAAAGTATCAAAGGGATTGTTACCTCACACACATGAGGTTTCTCTCCTGTGTGAATAAGCATACGCTTGTTTAACCCCTTGACGCGCAGCAGTTTCGCCCTGAAACCACAAATTTTTGAATTTTTCCCTCTCATCTTTCCGAAATGTCTTCTTTTGCATAAAGGAGCATTGAACAATTATGCTAACCTTTTACCTAGATCATGTGTTACTACATAAACTTCTCTGTGAATAAGCATACAAAAAGTATTCTTTTCCTGAAATAACTACAAGCATACCTTGCACATTAATTTTTCCCTCCATATATATATATATCTCTGCATTATTTCATAGAACTAGTTATGCTCCTCATGATGCAGTTCAAGTTTAACATGAATATGAATGGTTTTGTCTAAATGAAACTTTAGCGAAATTATTTCTTGTCATAAATGAAATGATGGGAGCAATGAGGTTAACAGATGATATTTTTCAAAAATCCATGACGAAAGGATGTGAACACACTAAACACAAATACTGAAATAATTTCAAAATTCAAATTCAAAATAGAAAATAGCAGCTTACATTTGTTAGAATTAAATTTTCCTTTTATTAAAAGAAAATTTTTGCTTTCTATACCACTGTTATTATACTAGTTAGATTTTAGCAATACATAAACTGTAATGGTTTGTCTTAAGAATTTATACATATTGGCAGGTACTACAAACAAGTTTGCATGTGTTGCACAGAATGTAAACCAACTAGTTACAAGGTGTATTTCATTTGATCTCAGCATCTGAATTTCTCTGAATAAATAAATTCCTTACATGTTAACTACAGTATAAACTCATAATTTATATTTAAAGACAGCAGATTATACACACAAATATAACAATTTATCTAAAACAATAAAATCATAAATTCTTGATGCATAAATGTTAGAAAAAGAGAATAAAACAAAATATTTTATAAAACTTTAATAATGAAAAAAAAATCATTTCTTTCAGCAATATATGGGAAAATATTGTGCACATTTGTTCAAAAATTTATTTGTATACTAGAAAATATTATCATTAAACTTACCTTTTTGAATATTCTAAAAAGCAAAATTTTGTTTGTTTAAATCTAAAAATGAATGCCAAATTATCGAAAACCTACTCTATTTAATATGCTCACTATTTTTATTCTGCATTCATTGAAGAAAATACTACAGCCAGAAAATGCAATACTTATAGAAATTAATAAGAAGGCTCAAACCTACACAGTAATATGCCTCACCTTCACTTAGATTTGTACCCAGCAGAACAAATATCTAGGTGTCATGTCTACCATGATAATATGATTGAAGCACTGTTAGCAGCGACTGCTGAATTGGTGCTGCAAGTAAGCGAGTAATAAAAATAAATCTTGGGCCATATATGTATTGCTTTCAGAAAAATAAAATAATAAATTACATTAAATTGTTTCTGTACTTGTGTACTGAATAAATTGTTATGCAGATATTAAATGAATTCCGATTTTGCCAGAAATGTATCTACGCATACATGCATGCATGGATGTGTATGTTCATGAATGCATGTGTGTGTACATACATATACATACATGTTTATACATAAATAAACATGTGCATACTGACATACATTTCTGAATCTGGTCCCTGTAACAGAAGAGTACCTGCAAATGTTTACTAAGTTTTAGTTTCAGAGCTACTAACAAATCTTCTTCACTCTAAACTTTGGTGATGCATTTTCACTGAAAAAGACCACTACAAAAATGGCATATCAAACATAAAAATGCTTGAAAGTTGTAACTGTGATGATTTTTAAATTTCCAGTGTTTTGTACGTAGTTCCCAGTTTTGAGTTTTTCACACTGTACATGGAGGAATTCTGTTATTCCATGTATCATCACATGCACAAAAGAGACAGAAGCTCATGTACTTATGAACTAATTTTTCAAGCATATATTAGTTCAACTCATTGCAAACTTTTATTCATAATCATGAACAGCACTAGAAAAAAATTACAGACGTCCACCTTGAGCACACCCAACACCAACACCTGTCCTGAACGAAAAATCACATGGTCAACAACTCTTTAGTAATGTTACAGTTACATATAAAATTTAAAAACAATAAAAAGCAAAAAAATGTTCTGAAAATTCACACATTAATTTTAAAAATTAAATGCACATTATTACAGTTATTAGCAATGACAAATAATTATTACACTTTTCTTTCATAATTTAAATTGATTTTTTTACCAATGTCTGGGCTATCACCAGGCCACTGAAATGCTAAGTTCAAATCCAATGTATTGGACTGGTGCAGCCATCTACTGACAAGATAGTGAAATGCAAAGTGTTCTAACACATACATAATTTGTAATTTTAAAGTATAATTTCTAAGGCAAGTTAGGGTTCTGCGAATGCTCTGCGTTATAATCCAATTTATTTAAAGAAAGAAATGCTTTCATGAAAACATACTTTTTTTTACAACACTGATATATGATGTCATACTTCTCTCTGTGTGAATAAACATATGCTGGTTTCAAACACCTTTCAATCCAAAAGTACTGCCACATAACTCATTCAAAAGAGGTTTCTCTCCTGTAAGAATACGCATATGCTTGATTAGATTAGGCTTTCGTCTAAATTACTTTTTACATACTTCACACATATGAGATTCCCCCCAACCCAAGTCAATAAGCATATCCTTCTTTAAATCATCATTTTTTGACTAATCAACTTATTACATATCTTACATACATGAAGTTTTCTCATGTGTGATTAAGCATGTCTCGATAGACTATGCTTTTCTCGGCTCTACTCTTATAAGCACCCTAAGATCACCAAATGTGGCGATATGTGTTCTGCGCTTGTTTTTGGCACGATTGCGTCTTCTATGGAAACCCTTCTGACGTTGAATACTTCTTTGGTAGATTGGTTTAATTGCTCGTTGGTTCGTGTCATGTGTGTTTTGAAATGGCCTATGTTGCAACGAGAGACATGGTTGCAAGAGGGTCTGGGAGATTATTTTTAGTGGCTGTGCATGATAGAAGTAACAAAACGATGATGCAGTGTATTAAAGACTGGATTGAGCCTTGTACAACTATTTTTTCGGATGGGCTGGAAATCTTACAAGGATTTAGGAAAGGTTTTGAACATTTATTTGTGAACCATAGTACAAATTTTCGGGATGGTGTGTCTGGCTGTCATATAAATACAATAGTGATTACGTGGTGGCATGTTAAAGACAGCATGAAATTAGGATTTCTGCTGTTTGAAAAAGCATTCATTCATTATAAGTGCATTTTTTTTTATCCTTGTTCTTTATTTTGTAGAATGTTATGTTCATTGTTTTTTTAGATGAATTTCTGTCTTTATTGCTGTTTTTTTTTTTAATTGCTTGAAATTAATTTTAGTTATTTTAGTTTATTTTGTTGATTAGTGCATGGTGCCTATTTTGTGCAATTCACAGATGTTTTTTAAAATTGAAACAGAATTCTGTGTACATAGTATTCTTTGAAATTTATTAAAGCAAGGTGTGCGTAGTTCCTAGATTTTTTCGCTGCCTAGATTATGCAATTTGTAGATTGTTTTTTAAGTTAAAGCATATCGCTGTGTACACAGATTCTTGTCAAATATTTTTCATTAGAAACTTTACATTTTTTATATCTAAATTTTTTGTTTTTGTTTCGGATTTTTAGCTTAAACTGTGTGTTCAAAACGTGGCTTTTGCATGCGCGAAAACTGCTTTTTTGGAGACATTTTAGACTTAAAGTTCGAAATGCAGACAAAAAATTTAGATAGTAATATGGCACCGTGGATCTTCTTACCAAAAATGTTTCGCGAGATATTTGAAGAATTGAGGGTGCACATAAGAGTAGTTCCCTTTTCTCTAAATGACTTAACCTCACGCACACGAGTTTTCTCTACAGAGCAGATAAGCATATATTGTTTAAATCACCTTTTCCTCGAAACGCCATTTTACACATTTTGCCACAACGAAGCTTATCTCTAATGAGAATAAGCATGTCTGTTTAAATGACCCTTTTCTAGAAATGACATTACATACTTCGCACGCATGAGGTTTTTCTACAAATACCCATGTATCTGAAGGAAAAGTATTCAGGGTATTCAGATACCATCTAATCTGAATACCCTGAATCTAAAAGAAATGCTAAATACCTCACACAAATGAGGTTTTTCTCCTGTGTGAATTAATATATGATTCATTCGCTTATGCTTTTCTTTAAATGACATTTTACATACCTCACACACATGACATTTCTCTCCTGTGTGAATAAGTCTACATGCTTCTTTAAAAGTCCCTTTTGTCCAAATAACTTGTTACATTCCTTACACATATGAAATTTTTCACCTGTATGAATAAGTATATGTTGGTTTAAAGAATCCTTGCATCCAAAGGAATAGTTACATATTTAGCACAAATGGGGTTCTTTATTCTGTATAAATCAGCATATGCTTCATTAGTTTATTCTTTTCTCTAAATGACTTCTAACATACCTCACATACAAGATGTATATCTCTGTGAATAAGCATATGCTTCTTTAACGCTCTTTTTTGTCTAAATGACCTGTTACATACCTCACACGAATGAGGCTTTTCTCCTGTGTGAATAATCATATGCTTAATTAGCTTATGGTTTCCTCTAAATGACTTACTGCATACTTCACATGCAAGAGGTTTTCCTCCCGTGTGAATAAGCATATGCTTCTTTAACACTCTTTTTTGTCTAAATGACCTGTTACATACCTCACAGGAATGAGGTTTTTCTCCTGTATGAATACGCCGATGTTCATTTAAATCACTCTTTTCTCTAAATGACTTTTTACATACCTCGCATACATGAGGTTTTTCTCCAGTGTGGGTAAGCATATGCTGGTTCAAAGTACTTTTGAATCTAAACGAATGATTACATACCTCGCATAAATGAGGTTTTTCTCCTGTGTGAATAAGCATATGCTTGATTAGTTTATGCTTTTCACTAAATGATTTTTTACATACCTCACACTCATGAGGTTTATCTCCTGTATGAATACGCATATGTTTCTTTAAATCACCCTTTAATCTAAATGGCTTTTCACATTCCTCACACACATAAGGTTTCTCCCCTGTGTGAATACGAATATGATTGTTTAGAACACTTCTGAATTTAAAGGAACTGTTACATACCTTGCAGGCATAAGATTTCTCTCCAGTATGAATAAACATATGACTGTGCAAATAAGCCTTTAATCTATATGAATTTTTACATGCATCACACATATGCGGGTTCTGTTCTGTATGAATCGGCATAGGTTCGTTTAAATCTTTCTTTTGTTTAAATGACTTTTTACATACCTCACACGTATCAGGTTTCTCTCCTGTGTGAATGAGCATATGTCTGTTTAATTCATCTTTTCCTCTAAATGCCTCCTTACACAGCTCACATGCATGAAGTTTTTCTGTGTTTATTAACACAGAATATGTCTGTTTAAAGCAATTTTGAATCTGAAAGAATTGTTGCATACCTTACACAAATGAGGTTTGTCTCCAATTTGAATAAGTAGTATATGCTTGATTAATTTTCTTTTCTCAAAATGGTTTTTATCATATCTCACTTGCATGAAATTTCTCTCGGTGAATAAGCATTATGTCATTTGTATTATACCTCACACACTTCAAGTTTCTCCATGTGCGAATAAGTATTTGCTTACTTGAAGCAGAGTTTACTCTAAATGACTTATTACATATCTTATAAACACGATTTGTTTCCTGCATTAAAATTTTGTATGTACTTGTTTTTTGTTTTTTTTTAAATGCTTGTAGATTACACACACATATGTGGTCTCTCTTCCCTGTTAGTGTGCATACACATCTTCAAAATACCTATCTTTTTTTTTTTTTTTTTTAATTATTTATTGCATATTTCAGAAAGACGAGGTTCTTATCTTGCATAAAGCAGCATATGTACTATTAGTCTAAAACTTTATCGAAATGACATGTCACATAAACTTCTGTCTGACCAAGCATATGAAATTTACTCTTTTCCCGAAATGACTAGTAACATACCTCATACGTATAAAGGTTTCTCCCTGCACAGATGTGTGCATTATTTAATGCAACTTGTTGTGCATCTCAGGATGATGCAGTTCAACATGAATATGGATTGGCTAAATCAAACTCTGGCCAAATTACTTTTTAGATCCTTCACCAAGCTTTTCTTATCTTACGCAACTATCGCTGTGACAGTGTTTATAAAAAATGAATGCAGTTTAAGTAAAAGGTTTATTTATGCATGATATATTAATACTGCATTCCATGAATACTTTCTTGTGCAAATATGCTTTTGACTGTTTTTGTAAAATATCACTGCAGTTTAAACAGGAGGTTTATGTATGTATGATGTACATAATACACTTTGCACTTCATGAATACTTGATGCAAAATTGAACTGTTATATTTTGTGCACGACTTCTTGCTAGATTTTATCAATGCACTTCCTGAAAGAACTTTTGCACTTATTCTTTACCACCCAGGCTCAATTCGATGCAAATAGGCACTTTTGTGATGTCGCCATGTGGAGTTAATGTGGATACAAACAAGTTTCTTTTAGTATCTCCTCAAAAAAGGCATCCCTCCACCATGTAGGTAGCCCTTGAAAGCTTTGCCATCATAAAATACCACCAAATTATAGCACTAAGTACTTAAAAATTCCAATTAAAATTCTTGCTGTTATGTATGTATAAACTTCCTGTTTTTGTTCAGCCCATTCAAATTAATAACGATTTTAAACAGATGAATAAACAGGACATATAGTATGTTTCTCATACAGATTTTATATATGAACATTTAAATACCATTTATGGAAGTTCATTTGATATGCATTGTCAGTGAATTTTTTTGCACTTCAGAAAAATTATTCCACTTTAAATGTCAAAATATGCAACGCATATTGCTATATGGAACGGAACTTTGTTTTCCTTCAGCCTATAATTACCTCCCCGTGTTTAACTGAGTCATTCGTGATATACCCTAAGGGAAATAGTGGAAAATATGAAAGAATGTACGATAAGCCGCATTATATACGCGCGAAATTCTATGCTTTCCAGCTGAGGATGTAGGATGAAAATTAATAAAATTTTCTGGGGATGATATATAGTCACTATTCAACTGTATTTACAAACAAACATAGGCACGAAAACTAGCCCAATGAAACATATACAAATGAATCAATCTTTTGGAGATATGCAAAGGCAAATATATATATATGGTATTACGTGAAATTCTGGAAGTCATAAAACTGAACGCACAGGAAACCGACATTTCAAATTAATCAATAAAACGCTAACACACCACATTCATTGATAAATACAAAAGTCGGTATTAGCCAAGGAGGTTAGAATAGAAGGAGGGAGAGTTCGCAGTTTCCTCCACTATCGGGGAATGAAACTCCGCCGAACAAGCGGCGTCCATGTTTGTGACTTCAAAACATTGCATTACGGCAGTGACATGTACGTGTTTCTAAGCTGTTCCGTGCATTTATTTTCCAGTAAAAATATGTTAAATTTATAATGAAATCCCTTGCTATTGTTGAATTTTTGTTTTAAAGTAATAAAGATGATATCCATAATTTACTATGTACAGCAAATTATTAAGAAATAGTTCGAAATCTAAATGCATGCGCATAACATTAAAGCCTTTAAAAAAATGATGTTTCTGCATATTTCACGGATTTGCTTAGGTTAGAAAATAAATCTTAATAAAATAAAACAGATTTATGTGAATTCATTGATTTCAGTTTATGCGCATTTCATATTTATTAATCTCAAAGAAACTGCCTTTAATTAAGTTGAATTACAGAAATACACCTATATAAGTTTTTGGATACATCTTTCCACATATTCAATTGTGTAAATATTTTACTTAATTTTATCACTATACTGCCCAGAATAGAAATTGTAAGTTTATGCAAAAAATTTTTAACAACAGAACAGTTTATCTTAACTTTCTTAAATGAATAATAATTAATATATAAAGAAAAGCATTGCTTCCTTTACAATAATAAAAATAGCAACAATTGATTTCTTACTTTTCATGAAAGTTATAAAACGAATTAACTAAAACGTTCAAATTATACAATTTAAATCCTACCATATAGCATTGTATCTTAAGGTAACGAAGATACCAGCTATAAACAGAAACATTAAAATGTATTTAATATATTTTGATTATAGTTATATTACGTAACCTATTTTGATTATTTAAGTCCCTTTTTTTTCACATCTGGAAAGAAAACCAACATGACATTGTGATATTTTTTGACATAGTTGTCATATTACATAAAAAAAGAAAATCAATACTTACGTGTGAAAAATAATGCCCGGAATTTTTTTCGAGAATCTATTTGTGCATCCATATGCAATACAAGCTGACATGCTTCAAAAAGAAAAGAAAAAAATGTTGCAATGACAGCCTTTCTTGCACAAGTCACGGTGATAACAGGAAGATGGCCGCCAAGCTTCACCGTTTGAGTTGAACCTTCCCTCCTTCTATTCTAACTAAGGCTCCTTAGAATTAGGCCTCCTTTAGAGGAGCCTTAATTCTAACCTCCTTGGTATTAGCAGAGTTTCACGAGTGACACAGACAATGTGTAGACAGATGTCTTGTTTTGCACCCGCTAAGTGTTTTTGCCCAAATGAGCGAATCTTCGGTCAGGCAGGTCATAACATTAGACTTCAAGTTTCGTACTAATGAAAGTACATTACTTGACCTGGTATACTATCCATTTAAGGCTTTAAGTAATGTAGAAGTGCATGTCCCGAGAGGGTGCATGTTAGTAGAGAATGTAGCGCCAAATTGAAAATTCTTGTATTAGCTAAAGTGTGCATAAGTGTCGCCATCTCTTGTCATGGTAGAATGTTACATATTTAAGAGCAATTCTGAAGTAGAGACAAAATTAATTAATTGCGATGAAGTAAAAAGCCTTTTTCTAAAAAATGTACTGTAAATAAAGTAAAAGTGATGAGCTAAAATTGTACAAGTCTGAAACTGTAAGTTGCAGCATCGTAAAAATCAATTTTGAATGGGACTCGAACCGTCAATGTGAAGATCCCCTAAGTGTGGCGAAATACCACTGAGCTGCCTTCACTTTTTCAGTTTCTGCAAATTTCATTGCTATTTCTATTACTTTAAACGCTTTTTGCTGAATGCTTTTGGATTCTTTGATTTTCTGAGCTATACTTGTGATGTGCTGCAGGAGTTGGAAAATATTATGGTCTTTAAAGATTTTTAGTATTTGGCTGAAGTCTTCTTTTCCTCTATTTCTTAATTTAATTTTGTCACTATACAATGGTCGATTTTCTGTGCTATTATTGTGCTCTTGCTGCTTTAAAGGTTCAGGAAGTCTTCTATAGAAGGTCGTAATTGCTGGGATTTTGGATTTTCAGTTTTATTTTCGATATTGTTGAATCTTCGTTGGTAAACGTTACAACAACGACATGGGATTGAGAGCAAAAAATGCATTTGGGTTTTTGTTCTGGTTTAAAGTGCAAGTGTTTGATCTATGATTGTCCCCACATTTAACACATCTTACTTTGTTGAAACAGGTACAGTAGAAGTCCATTAGTCCGGCATCCAACAGTCCGGAATGCCCGATAGTCCGGCATCGCTCCGGAAAATTGTAAAAATTTTGGTTTTCTCCAAAAGTTTGTCTTTAAAGCAAATAAAACCGCTCGAGAGCTATTCGGAAGTTTTCGGGGTAGTTCGAGATCATCCGGAAGCGCTCGGTATTGTTCGGAAACAATTAGCGGCCGGCTAGTCTCAGCTGTCACAACAAATTCAGGTGCAGTGCAGCTCCGTTAATCAATCACGAAGCGTCTTCGCCATTTTTTTGTGCGTTGTTGTTTTGTGTCCTTTCACATCGCAGTAAACGTAACTTTTGAAACTGTTTATAAAAAAAGTGATTTTCGTTCTAACTGTACAGTGACCATGTTTTCAAAACCTAAGCCTTCGAGTTCAAAAGGAGAGAAACGAAAACTCGTAACACTCACTCTCAATCAGAAACTAGAAATCATCAAACGGCTAGAAAAAGGCGAGAATAGAAATGTTTTAATGAATGAGTTTAATATTGGCTCATCAACTATTTATGACATTAAAAAACAAAAAGATGAACTAATGAAGTTTGCTTCTCAATCGGTAACAACTGCAAAATTGGCTTCTAGACAAACATTAAAAAAAAAACCAAAACTGGAACAGCTAGATAGTGTATTGTTCAAATGGTTTAGTGCAGTACGTTCTGAAGGAAAGCCGGTAACAGGGCCAATGATTGTTGAAAAGGCAAAGAAATTCGGCCAAGATTTAGGAGTTGCTGAAAGTGAATGTAAATTATTCTGATGGTTGGCTCAGAAACTTTAAGTTTCGGCATGGAATTCGAAGACTTGATGTAACTGAGAAACACTTTTAGCAAACCAAAACTCTGCAGAAAAATACAAAGACGAGTTTGAGAAAATCGTGGCTGATAATGATTTAACACCTGAACAGATTTACAATGCTGATGAAACAGGGCTATTGTGGCGATGTTTACCAACATCTACACTAGCTGGGGGAGGAGAAAATGCCGCCAAGGGTTTTAAAAAAAACAAAGACAGATTAACCGTTTTGCTATGTGCTAATGCGTCTGGAAACCACCGAGTGACCCCTTTTGTGATAGGTAAATCTGCAAAACCCAGGGCTTTTAAGAGTGTTACACACTTGCCTGTCATACGATGCTCAATCAAATGCATGGACAACTGCCGCCCTCTTTAAAGACTGGTTTTTTCACCACTTTGTGCCTGAGGTCAAGGAATCCTTCAAAAGCCTTGGTCTACCAGAAGATACTAAAGCCATCCTTCTTTTGGACAACTGCAAAGCCCATCTGCCAGTAGATGAGTTAGTTTCTGGGAAATTGTTGCTACTCTGCTCCCACCTAACGTAACATCTTTGATTCAACTTCATGGACAAGGGGTTATTCAAAATTTTAAATGCTTTTATAGAAGGTCTTTTATTCAAGGCCTGTTAAATGCCGACTGTGACGTGACTGATTTTCAAAAAAAGTTTACAGTAAAAGATGCCGTCTATTCGCTTCAGATGTTCAATATATTTGTAAATGATATTCCTGAAGCACCTAATGTTGATCTAGCTTTATATGCGGACGATACTGCCATCATCTCTCAACATCCCAACACCGCCACGGTAATCTCTGCACTGCAGAATTATCTTTCAAGCCTAGAGCTCTGGCTCGGACTATGGAAGATCAAAATTAATGTCGTAAAATATGCTGCCACTTTATTTATCAGAAGAACGCACCCCAATTTAATTAACTTGCAATTCTTCGGAGAACCAATTTCCTGGGTTCCTACTTATACGTATCTAGAAGGATACTTGATTCGAAATTAACTTGGCAACCTCACATTCAAAAAACAGTTTGTAATGCGAAGGTTGTCAAATCCCAATTACTGCCTTTTTTTTTTTTTTTTTTTTTTGCTAGAAAAAGCGACCTGTCGACTAAAATCAAGATCTTGTTTTATAAATCAATGATAAGGCCTATTTTGACTTATGCAGGTCCCGTATGAGCGACTTTCGATAAATGTTTTCAAAAAGATTCCTTCGATCGGAAATCCCGTTCTCCATTCATTGCCTATTTATCATCTAGGAATTGCATCATCTAGAAGAAGGCCCACAGCCACTCTAGAAAGCGCATATAATGCGTTATCATTTCCTAAGAGGCGTTGCTATGGGGACGAGGCGCCTCGAAGCTATCACTCAACTCGTTCACTGAACCCTCCCCTTCCCCCGCCTGAGAGAATTCCTGGTCTTTCCGCTTTACTCAGGGTCACTCTCTTTGTCCCATAATCGAGCAATATTTATTTCTTTCAACCATATCGTCCCCACAACCAAGAGGCAGGCAAGATAGTAACAGTAAGGTAGCTTCCAATGCGCGCCATTGCTTTCTAGCTATACCCATTCCCGGAAGGCCCAGACCCGACTCCGGGTCTTCACCCATAAAATTGTCGATTCCGGTAATCCAATCTTTCCCAACCTCGAGGGAGCCAGAGTTAGGGGCAACGCTGGGCCGTATCCTCCTTGCATACGACGAGATCTCGATACGAGAGTGACGTCACATATGACGGGCTTTTCGTGTGGAGCGACAATTTGCAATCCTCGAGCACCGATCGAAACCATTTCGTGCGGCGTAGCTATCGTCTGGTTTTCGGCTGCTTATGTGCAACCGTTTAAAAAATCTTGCGATCGAAAAGTAATGGCGTCGGATGAATGTTTAGCGATGTATCTTTTAAACTGAATACATCATCGTAATTAAATTCAAAGAAGAATGTTCCGAAGCAGACTGGATGCGTTTGCATTATCTGTTAAGCAGTTTATAAAGTTATTTAGGGGAGATAAACAGTTGTATTCTGTTCTGAACTAACAGCTTTTGTTCGAAGACTCTTACCTTTTACTGGATTGCCGCCTGAGCTAAGAGTATTATATTTAGTACTTATTTGAATTGTTGAAATTTCAGTCTAAAATTGTAAATAACTTAATAAATTATTCTATAATTTATGTTTATATATTCTACATGTGTCATGATTTTTTTTTTATCAATTTCAGTTGTAGAAACATTTTTTATGAATTCGTCTGTACTTCTACGAATAATTTTCTTCTACGAATAATTTTCTGCTTAATATTTTTTATGTATCACCTAAAACATTCGAAAAATTTAATTGGAATTAAGTTCCGAATTGTATAATAGTAAACAGAAAAGAATATGTTAGTTAAATTTCTCTCTGGTTTTCATAATAAATTACATCTTTGGTACATAACATTCTCATTTGTGTTTTGTTGTCAAAAATCAGGATCTGAAAAAGATAACTAGTTGAATTCATTTGCAGTATTATTTAGAAACGAATTACAGTGTTTGTTGGGATTTTAGATTTTGATATTATTCTTGAAGTCATCTGTTAATATTTTATCTAATTATAGTGCTTAAAAATTCATGTGAAAAGGGATTGTAATTTTTTACCTATTGATGTAAAATACCCTGTTTCTTCTTATGAAGGATGTGTTGTTATGAAATTGTTTGAAAATAGAGCATTCTTTTCTCCATTTTACTTTACCAGTATATTACTATGCTATTTTAGAAGCATCACGTAAAAATATTACAAGTTTCTCATGTGATAGATTAATACAGTTTATAAAAACAATCAGTATATGTTACATTTTAATCTCTTTCGAATCTTGATTTTTGACACCACAAATGAGAAGGTTATGTTAATATATTTTTATGAGATTGTGCTCATAATTGTTACATATATGTAAAACTATAAAACTGTATATTGAGGATTTTCTGAAGTAGGATTAGTTTTGAATAATAACTCAGCTTTCATAATATTACAAACATGTATCTTTCCATAAATTTGAAATGAGATTTGTATAATGCTTATGTAATTTATTTTCTTAGCAAACCCAAGGATTTTAATTAACACTCCTCGATAATTTTGTATTGTAGAATATTATTTCATATTAAGTAGATTATTATGATTTAGCTAATAAGTTTCAAAACATTTAAAAGTTATCACACATGTGTATTTCTAAAATCCTGATAAACATTATATTTCCTGTTATTGATAGCATATATATTACCTTTATTGTTATGTTTAAGCCTTTAGATAAGATCTTATGTACAACAATAATATTTTGCAGGTTTCTGATCATAATATGAAGATCTTTGCAATAAATGCAAAATGTTCTTGTGTTCGTGACATGTTTCATATGCACAAATAAGCATTTTTCAGGGACAGGGGAAGAAACTGAATGTCAGTTATCACTACTTCCTCAATTCTTGTAATCCTGAAATAAGATTTTTCGGTACTCTTCTGTTATCGGTACTGGATTCAGAAATAAGTGTATATGTATATTATATATACGTATGTATATGTGTACACATATATGCACATACACACATGCATACATATATACATTCCTTAATCCAGTCACGACAACAGAGTACCAATGTTTCAGTCTATATAGCAAGTTTTGATTAATTTTGTCTGCATTTAGAATGTATTTGATGTTATTGCTATAATATTATTCTTTCAGATTATAGATGGATTATTTATCTTGTTATAGAAATAATAAAAAAATATAATTTTTATACAGTATATTACACTAAGTGTTATATTATCAGTGTCACATGTGAGTGGATATATGCTAATAAAAGTATGATTTTATTTTTAGTTCTATAGTAGTATTTACCCAAAACCTTTTTTTTTCAGTAAGTAGTAATTAAAATATTGGTGGAATGTGAAAGAAATAGGTCACTAAATTTTATTAAACATGAAATGTACCTAATTTATATGCATTTAGATACACATGCAAGTTAAGAAATTGTGTGTTCTCAATAAATGCAGATAAAAGACAATTCTATTATAGACTTCTATCTTCCATGTATCAAATTGTTGTACTTAAAAATTATGCATTTTTTCTTTCAGATTAATGAGTTTAAAATGATTTTGCAATGTAATGGGTGACAATTTTTTTCCTTCTTGAAATCTGATACTATTAGATTTTCCCACCTGTACAAGGAATTTTTATTTCCATATATTTATTTTTATTAACGCGAATACTTTATACTGTTTGTAAAATTGTTATTTTTGTAAACAGCACGTAGGAAAGTTTTTTTTATTTAATTCTACTGTACGATTGGTGATTTAAAGTAACATTCTATGTTTGATTATGATGTATTGTCGCCAAATCTGTTAGTTGGTGCTAATGTTAAAAACTCGATAGTATGATCTAAATTAATGATTTTGCTTTTTCTTTATAGTAAGATAAATACACTGGTGTGCAAAAATTAAGGACGAGACGGTTTTTTCGATATAACTTTGTACAAAAGCTTTCCAAATCAACACATTTAATACCGTAAGATCACCAATACGTAAGGACATGAGTAATGTAAGCAACACTTACTAAAAGAGAAATCAGAGGGATAAAAAGAAGCTTTATTGAAAAAGTAGCATGGAGCGCAATGCGACTGAAAGCTGAAACATCCCTGCGATGGGTGTCCAGTAAGAAACATCCTCTCTTTAATAGGGGATATGATCTCCCCTGACTGCTAGGCAAATTTCACAGCGTCTGCCCATGCTGAGAATGAGGGTGTCAATGAGTTGTTGAGGCATTGCTGCCCATTCGTCTTGCGCCAATCGAAGCTCCGGAATGGTTACTGGTGGTAAGGTACGAGCTTGCCAAGCATCTGCCTTACTCTTCTTTGTTATCAAATAAATAAAAAGAGAATATTCCTAATCACATATTTCTTCTTTTAAAGAATTATATTCTTTTAAAGAAGAATTTCTTTAGATATTTCTTCTTATTTTATTTTATTTTATTTTATTTTATTTTTGTAAGAGTTTTATGTATTATGATGCAATATTTGGGATTTGTTTTTAGAGTACATAACAGTACTTTTTGAGGTGTTAATAGAACCAGTGTATTTTATTTATTTACTTATTGCTTTAAAACAAGCTTTAATTTGAGGCCTTTTTTCCCCTCCTTTCCATATGCACATAAAACTTACTTAAGCTATATTTTTAACATATTAATGAGATATATGTAAATGAAATAAGTCTCTTATATTAGCTACTTTACTAGAAAAAGAACTAAACTAAAATGATATACCTTGAAAACTTTTTGAGTTATTTTTTTAAGTATTTAAAAAACATACTTTATCTTCTAACACTTACTCTAATTTTTTATTTCTTCAGTATTTAATATTTTCTTGTTTCCTCAGTACATTTTCATTTAACATTGTCTTTTTCACATTTGCAAATTGCAATAACATATTACTTGAACATCTGCTTCTGTTTTGTCCAAACACATGAATCATTCTGTTGAACACAATACTGAATCTACATTCAGAGTCTCTAGCAATCAAGCAAACAACCCACAACAGAGTTATTAAAGGTTGCCTTACATGTAAAACTTGCATTTCAATTTAGGAATTCATAATTAAATTATATATTTTTTAGCCTCAATTTTTTTAGTCATTCAAATTATACATAAATTATTGGAATATATCTTCAGATTGTGCTGCAAGATATTGCTGTTAATGAAAACTATAAATAATCGAATTTCTATTCTGAGATCTGTTTAAAAATCTATAGATATTTTAAGTAACCAAAAAAGTGTATAAACCTGATCTAAATTCACTGACCTAAACTAAAAATGTGTGTATGAATCAGGCAGATTTTTCCCTTGAATGATAAACTGTAAAAAAAATTAAATTAAAAAAAATAAATAAACAAATTTTGTACATCTTAGATTAAAAAACTTAAAACTGCCTAAAGAACTTCAAATGAACAAGATTACACAAAATTTAGTTATTTAATGATCCTAAATTTCTTGAAAGAAAAGTCATGGTGGAAATGAATAACAGAAATCTAAATAATAATACATAAATATGCATGTCTGTGATGTGAATAAAATAGTACCTTTCATGGTGCTTTTCGATGAAAGACACAAATGTCTCTAACTGAAAAGAAGTTATCCGGGATGACAGCTTATTCTAAACAGAGATGGAAAAAGATACGTTGTTTACAAATCTGTTTACAAAAAAAATTAAAGTTACGATTATTTTTCAACAAGTCTTCTCATTGGTTGTTGTACCATCGTTTGACGTCAAAATGTGGGCGGTGCGAAGGAGGGGCTAATACCTCTTTCGATCGGCGAAAGCCTTAACGTTTCGCACGGTAGAGGCGCTTGAGGATACCAGTTCTCGCTCAATCGTTAGCAGCAGTCGAACGAGAAGGAGTCGCTTGCTACGTCACTCTCGTATCGAGATCTCGTCGCACGGTAGGAGG